TGGAGGATACAACAGAGCTAAGACCCACCGTAAACTGAAGCAATAATATTGCGAGATATTATCTCGTCGGATCCGTTTCCATTTGAGAAGTCCTCCAAATATACATCTGCTCCACAAGCACAATGCTGAATGGCCCAAAATCAACGGTTTACGGTAGGGCACGATACCCAGTCATCGTGAACGCACTACAGTATAAAGTTTTACAGTACAAGTACACGCGTGTCGAACCGCCGCCCTCCGTCTCACTCTGCAACGGCTATTTGACACATGGCGAGTGCCATTTTTCTGCTCATACTGCAGTGTAGTGTTGCAGGGACGGCTTTTGACGATCGATTTCTTCGGATCTGTGGAGAGGGTCGACTTCGATACAGCTTACCTACACGCAGTGCCCAATTACCCATTTGACGTTTTTTGCCGACAATCCCGAGCCGACTCCCGCCGCCTGTCCGAAAGCCATGCATATGCACGAGGTCAATGGATCTGATCATGCCCACGAACCTGCAGACTGGAGGCCCTGCTATGATCATATTGATCACACTCAACATGCATTTTGATTAGAAAACCCTACAACTGCTAGCATGATCACTGGAAATCTCACGGCCTGACTGCTACGAATAGTACCTTCTCTGCTTTACTTGATATGGGCAAGGGTGGCGACGTCCATTAGTTTTCCAATGGGCGCTGCAAACCTGATAGCAATGTGCAATAGTGTCCCCTCCTCGCTCGCCTCAAAACTTCACATCCACTCGTTGGAGTCCACTCTACTTCGCATTGCATCGAGTTTTTGTCATCTTCTTTAGATACCTGTTACAGTACGGTACCTCATTCCTGTTCTTATCTCATTCAATACAGCGGCGGTGGCCACCACGGGCTCTATTCAGATGTAAGCGGTACCATGACTTCCGATTTAGAAGATGGACTAGCTTCTGAGCTACTCAGATGTTTGCTTAAAATTCGATCCGCACGTCTCATGCGACCATCATTTCTGCGACAGTCATTATGGCCATCTATTTCTCGTTGACGGGTATCATCCTTCTGCCTGGGCAGTTTTGGTCTCTCATTTTGACGGCTTATGAGGTAGGCATTCTTCAACATGCGCGCTTTATAGTTTTTCGTCAACATGTCACGCCAGTAAGGATCCAGTTGCGCTCCCTGCTTTCGTTCAAGTATAAAACCCAGGCTTGGGTCTCGCACAGTTGTTAGTCGAAGGTGCTTCCCGCACATCTACACCAGACATCTTGCCTCTCTTTCAAACATCGTCGCAAGGAAATTAACCACTCAGATGAATGGCAATCCTCCAGATGCCCTTAGCCTTTCCCTGGAATTTATTCTCAAGTGCACATGGAGATTGCTTCTAGTTTTGAAGTCCCTCATGCGATGGCTATTTACCGCAGACCCTCTTCCGAAAGGCATGTGTGACCGGCAAATTGGGGGAATTGCCCGTGGAAAAACGGTTTTGGTAACTACAGGCAGACAGGCGAAGACTTTTCACACTGTGCGCGCCTTAAAAGAAGTAGGGGCAACAGTCATTGTCTCAGACTACGAAGAGGTAAGCGCGTCAGCCGTGAGTCTTGCATGCGATAAGTTTGTCTTACTTCCTCAGCTTGATTCTTCGCACGTGCAAGCATGGGTCCAACGATTCGGAGATATCCTGGTCGAGAACAACGTGGACGTCGTCTTACCGGTGAGCACCATCAATGAAGTGCTCTACATATGCCACGCCAAGCACGAACTCAGCCAGAAGCTGCCACATGTGACATGGTTCTGTCCCGACTTGCAGACTGCCCTTCAGCTCGATGATCGCGCTCAGTTTTCCCTCTTTTGCGAGAAATATGGTGTTCCGACCCCTGAACATGGTGTTCTCACGTCAAGGGCAGCGATTGCACCAATTGTGGAAAAATATTCCGAACGTGTCATCTTGAAGCGCATTGAATCATCCGTCAATCGCTCTGAGGAAATTGTGTCTTTGATTGAAACGGAAAGCATCCCGAGTTCTGTGAAACCCAGTCGGACAAATCCTTGGCAATGGCAAAGGTTTGTGGATGGAGACGAATATTCTGTTTGGTACGTGTGCATCGGTGGCAAAGTTACCTTCGCCGGCTGTTATCGTTCGGCGCCGGACTTGGTGGAATTCGACAACGTTCCGATCCCTGATGATGTGGATGTACCCATGCGAAATTTGATATCGAAGCTTACCTTGACCGGACAGTTTGCTTTTGACTACATCAGAGAGAAAAAAACTGGTGACCCATATGTTATCGAGTGCAACCCTCGAGCATCATCCATACTAGAGACAGTTTCAAATACTCCTCTTTGGGCGGAGGCATTCTTCGGAATCGATGTCATGAAAAGAACCATTCCATCAAATGTTGGCTTTCAATTCCATGCAAATTGCTGGCCTTGGACTTCCAGGTCCGAAGGATATTTCATGATGAAAGATCCTTTGCCGTTCTTTGCAGCAGAAATACTGTGGCCCGCAATGGCTGTCGCAAAGCGAGGTGTGTTTGGAAATGGGATTAAGAAGGTGGACGTCAACATCTGCAAGGTCATCGTCGACGGCCCTTCGTCCGGGAGAAATCTGGAATGTTTCCGAAGGGAAGTGAAGGCACTGCAAATATCATTTGCAACACAGGCTGTGAGGCAAGTTGACACTGTTCTGCTTGACATCAACGCACCAGGCTTCGATGCGTTGAGGGTAGAAGGTGAAAAGAATGGACGGCTGATAATTCCTTTCGCCTTTCAACGACACGCTGAGAAGGAAACGTCAGAAACGGACGAAGAATGCTTGTATTTGAATTCGGAGGCAGAAATTGATGAGCTGATAGCGAACGCACCAACAGGAGAGACAAGATTGATTCTTGGCGAGAAGCTATCGAGATCCCTATCCTCGCCGTACCCGATGTCGTATCGTATGGTTACCCAGGGGAAAACTCTTCATCAATCATTCGAGATTCCGTTGCGAAAACTTCGCGTGCTCCACATCATGGGTTCCAATACCAGTGACTACTATGAAGGCATCTCCAGCTATTACGGCTTTGAATGCATCAAAAGCATTGGAAGCGGTGGTCGCTTTGATCATGTAGTTGCCTATATCCATCGATCCGGTCACTGGTCTGTTGGAGTGAACTCGACGTTGGAGCAATTGAAACGTCATGAACTCAAACTTTCCCCAGGACAAGCCATCACCGAGATAGAAAGTTTGATGATCGATGTGGCTATGCCGCACATGTTCGACTACGATGGTTTGACTGCTTATCGCGGTCTCATGAGAGTACTGGACATTCCGATGGTGGGATGTTCTGCTGAAGCATTAGCACTTTCCACAAACAAGGCACGCACGAAAGCATGCGCCGCAATGGAAGGTGTGCGTGTTCCAGCATCTCAGCTGTTGCGTGAAGGTGATCCAATCAAGATGCCGCTGCCGGTCATCATTAAACCGGTGGAAGAAGACAACTCGCAGGGTATTTCGATAGTTCAATCTGAAGAAGATATTTCGCAGGCTCTTGGAGAAGCATTCCAATTCGGAGGTGAGGTGCTATGCGAACAATTCATTAGCCTTGGGCGAGAATTGAGAGTTGCCGTAGTGGAAGTCGGGGATGGGAAAATGCAGATGCTACCGATCATAGAATACTTTCTGTCGGAAGAATCTCCCATTCGTCGGCCAGAAGACAAGGTAACCACCGACAAAGCAGGAAATCCAGTAGCGCTGGCGTCAGGCGGACGAATTTGTCCGGCAAATGTTGACGAAGACTTGAAGAAAAAACTCTTTGATTCGTCCGTGGCAGCACACAAGGCCTTAGGCTGCACTGATTATAGCATATATGACTATCGCATTGATCCTAGAGGAGCTCCATATATGCTCGAATCATGTTTGTATTGCTCGTTCGCACCGAAAAGTGTGCTTGTAAGCATGCAAGCATCGATGGGCATTCATCACGCCGAGCTTTTCACAAGGTTGTGCGAACGTGCTATGTCCCGAAAAAGGGAGAAGAGTTTAAATCAAAAGAAGGGCATGAAGTAGAGGCAATCTAGTTTCACGGTTAACAAGTAGAAAACTCTTAACCTCTCCCTATTCGTCAAAGTAAATTGCGAAATGCTACTACCCAGAAAACATTTTGCACAAACCACTGTGCTCTGTGTGAAATTCGTTGCTAATCGGATTGAAACAACTTCATGATCTTCTAAGATAAAGCTCTTGCCTCTTATCCCTATTATTAACCGCGAGAAACATGCGAAAGAAAGCAAGTTGTATAGTAACGTTGTCCGCCAAGTAAACACGTGTTTTTGGTTGCAGAAACCAAAACTGGTTGGTCGCAAAGTAAATTACAAGAAAAGCCATTTCACCCCCTTTTTGCCACAAAAAAGACCACGATCGCCCCACTAAACGCAGCATTAACTCTAAACATAAATAACTACCAATTGTGCTCGCTGATTGCTCCGTTTGCAGTTGCGCCCTGTACGTGTCAGTCTCTACAAGTACTGATGTCACTCTAACATGACTCGTGCCCTACCCAAGTGTGAAGCCTGTCCTATGATATAGCATCGGCCATCCCTACCTATTGAAATAAATTTACACAACATGACTCAACAACCCCGTCTTTGCGTTAATAGATGCGTTAGTTCGCGAGTCATTGCAAGAAAGACCTAATGTTCGCCTTACAGTGCGAGGCGAACACACAGTATTTTGAGCAGCTTACAAAAATTGGTCAGCACTTGTAATTTAATTGCGAGTGCTCATCAAACCATCAATTTTCAACGAACAAAATCGCGACTATGAGAAATTTTCCGAAGGTGCAAGAGTTTTCAGACGGACTTTTCTGAAAAACAATCAATGGCCATGAAAGTTCAAGAGCCTTCAGACGCACTTTTCTGAACAACAATTATTACTCATGGTCTAAGAGAATTCCCGGAGAGGGAATTATCATCTGTTAACTGAAAGTATCCACACTCACAGCTGCAAGCAATGAGTGTGACAACCGGATATATATATATATCGCACTTCACACTTTCCGGACGAGGAGCACACCTTCGCGAACGGTCAACATCACTTGTTCTACGCGCTTATCATTTCTCACAAACTGAGCAAACTCGTGCAAACTTTGACGGACAGGATCGTTTTCTTCGTAAACAAGAGAGCATAACGCGTTATCAGCCATGATGAGGCCGTCTTCGTCGAGCAAGTTTAAAGCTGCTTCGTAATAATGCTTGTAGTTGGTCTTGTCTGCATCCAAAAATATGATATCAAATTGCTCTCCAGTACGGACCATATCGGTTACCGCCTTCCTCGCATCTGTTTCAAGCAGCTTCACTTTATAGCCATTCTGGGCACTCTTAAAGCACTTTCGGGCAACAACAGCTGCAGAGTTGTCTGCTTCAATCGTGACGACTTCTCCAATTGAAGAAATTCCATCCGCAAATGCCAGTGCGGAATATCCGGTGAATGTTCCAATGTCAAGAATCCTCTTGGCATTCTTAATTTGTGCGATCATCTTCAAAAATTGGCCCTCGATGGGACCTACCATGCACGGAGCGAAAAGTTTCGCCGCCTTTGTTTCGTCGGCAATGTTGACAAAGTCAGCTGTCGGACGGGATGTCATAGCATTTGCATATTCTTCGGCGCCCGGGAAAAATAATGTGGAGTGTTCGAAAGCAGGGGGCTGAAGTGTATCACTCTCCGTTGCAGTTGAAAGCACGCTGTTTAAAGAAGATGATGTCTCACCTTCATTGCGACTAACTTGCTTCTCTGAGATCCACTGATTGTATTCCTCAATGTTGCTTCGTCCTTTTTCTCCGTTGCTATCCGAGGGATCAGCGACTGGATTTCCAGACGTTGCAGCATCAGTCTCTAAGCTCCCTTTAGGAACAGCGTGGGCAGCATGTTGTTTCACAGTCGATGGATCCTCCAGACCAACATCTCGGCAGTGCGGCTCAATGCCGAAACCTTCCCTAGGGTATTTTTTCGCAATGATCTGGTATTCAATCAAGGTGCTTTCCATCCTCTCTCGCGTCAATGTGTTCAAGTATCCGCACTTTCCAATCGCACCGCGTGGTATCGGGGCACAAAGGTTGCCGCCTCGCTTTTCCGTCATCTTCACCTGCGAAGACCAGAGGGAGTCTGGATTCTCAAGGATGTCATGCCGCAGTGAGAGTCCAACTGCACTCATCACCTTAAGAATTCGGTGAAATTCACTCTCCGTAATCCAGCCTTCTAGGAATGAAAGGTACGCGCCATAACCCATACCAATGGAAACTGCATGACCATGAAGGAGACCTGCTTGCAGTTCGAAACCGGGCGACCAGGTGTGCCCGTACGCGTGTGGACGGCACTGATGGGTCTCCCATAAGTTTCCGTACTCTGAGCGGACATAGCCGTCCATAGCTTTCGCAATGATAGATTCGCTGAGAACATCGATATCAGAACCACGCCCACATTGGTCCACTCCAAACTTGGTCTCCACCAGACGGTTTCCGGCAGTCTCCAGCGCTGTGAAAAGAGTGGCGTCTTTAGTGACCGCCATCTTTATGATTTCGGCGATGCCATGACGAATCCATCCGGGCTCTAGCGTCTTGAAGAATTGTCGGTCAGTTAGAGTGAGGATGGGGGGATGATACGCACCGAAAACATTTTTGTATCCCAACCCGTCACAGCATGTCCGAGGAGAAGGCCCAGCATCAATGCCTGACACAATAGATGTGCACAACATTACGTAGGGAGTATTCCTGTGATAAAGAGCACAGGCGAACCCGCCGATATCAGCCATGACACCACCGCCAACCACAAGGACCGGTTCATTCCGTGACACTCGCTTGCCCTTGAGATCAACAAGGATCTTTTCAACCGTGGAAATGTCCTTGTCGACTTCCATGCATCGGTACACAAGCTTCTCAAAAGAAATTTCGTGTGCTGCAAAGTATTCGTCCATGGCGGAGCCGTAGAGCCTGTCCAATCGCTCGTCGACGACAGCAACACACCTCTTTAAGGGTTTGTAGACGTCTCGTAATTGCGTGTTTGACGGACTTAACACATCTCGGACAATTTCTATTGTTGTTGTGATGGTCGTTCCCATAACGCTTTCAATAACTCGACTGTCATCGCTCGATGTGACATGTCCCTTGCATTGACGATAAATTGATGTAGGGTACAGGGCATGCGGGTCATTGTCCAACAGGTAGTCAGCATTGGCTCCGTAGATCTCCTTCAAAGCTGGTGAGGAATCCTTCGCAATAGTGACGTGCTTCATGAACAACGGCCCGAGGGTCTCATCATCGAGAACCTTACCAGCAAATGCCGCAAAAGATGCTCCATATTCAGCATCAAACTTGGAAATGACTGATGAAAGCACGTTGAACAGTTGACCGCAAGGCAGGTTGTAGCAGTATTTGAGCAATTTTAGTGAGCGAAGCAAGGAAAGGTCGTCTTTGGTCTGCGCAAACCCTGCGGCGACTTCACCGTTGAAGGCATCTGCCCTAGAGATGGCGACGAGAAACTTGTGAAGTGGTTCAATCCCAAAAATATCAACGAGGGCGTGAGATGGAGGAGTCGACTTGAGAAGAGATGAGGACCCCGGGAGTGCTTTCTTCAGGTCAGACGTGAAGTTGCGAAAAAACTCGATAGAGAACAAGCTGTTCCGCTGCGCTGTTGCTTCCAATGTAATATGCATGATGAACAATAAAAAAAGAAAAAATGCTCTGGCGAAAAGACGAAAAGAGGACGTCGAGGGAAAAGAGGCTCGTGGTTTTTTTGACACCGCGAAAGTTGGCTATGATCCGTCAATAAAGTCAGAGCGAAAGGTGCTCTATTTGTATTGGGTTTTCTCTGACAGGTTCACGAGGCATTGGACAGTGTATGGAGAGGAAGAATGGGGGATGAGGTCGATGGCTGGCGCAGAAAGGGAAACGAAGAGCAACAAAGATGTGATTGGCCACAAACTAGAGGACGGATGAGCTGGATTGCCCGGTCTGCTATGAATGGGGATGAGGATTAACGGAGGGCAAATCAAAATGGGGATAGGGAAGACGGAGGCGTTTCACATGTCAGTGTGTGATGATTAGACTGTCATCGTACCCTAGTAGGTTTCCGCGGGCAGCAGCTGGAATGGGCGAGGCACAGAAGGCCACGCAAGGGTGAATAAACGATAAAAACGGGCAATTGTCGAGTTAAATTAGCGGAAGTAGGCAATCCCAGAACAGGACGATTTGCGTCAGTGGCTGGTCTCATGCCATGGGACGAACACAGCCAAGGGCTGAAGACAGTCAAGGGTTGGGGACGATGGTTGCGTGAGTACCAAGAATGTGAGGCTGAACGAGATAGAAGTTGGAGTACCGTAATACGAAGACAAATTAAATTGGGGCCTCGAAATGTTAGTAAGAATTGAGGAGTTGTGGTTCGGACACAACTAATGAATACCGAAAATGGAAACGTGGACCGGCATGTGTGGATGAGCTCGCGGGGTCCTATCTATTTCAAGCGGGCTCTCCACAAGACTTGAAATTTCTGGGCACTTCACGCACAACCAATGGTGGAGCGGTTCCTCGTACGGTAGACCACAAGGCGGTTCCTTCCGGATTCATGTGGACAACGAAAACATGATTCAGGTCGTGAGGTGCAGGAAGCAAACTGCCAGGACAGTAGGAAATAAACCCTTTGCTTGTGCAGCCGTGCGAGCGGTGTTCGAAAGTACATCAATGGCGAGGGAGGATGTACTTCCCGGCAGTCGAAGAGAACGGTAAATATGGTTGGACTTGAGTCAGAGTGATGGGGTCTGGCGAGGAGCAAGTACAATACAGCGGCGGGGCGTGATTGGGTGCATCCAGAAAATAACACTGTATCACTCGACTACTTTTTTGACCAATCAGCGACCGATAAAGTGGTCGCCGGCTGACTACTTTTGAACATCTGATCAAGCCCTCTCGACCCCTCTCCACTCCACCACTCCCGCACCACTTCTCATTCCATCCTTGCGCACTGGAGTTCCACATTCCAAGACCCCTCTCTCGAGCTATCGGTGATGCCCGCTTCGCCAATGCCCTTTCAGAACAGCCGCAAGCACACTCTGGCAGCTCTAGCAGTATCGCTAGCAGCTCTGACGACATGTCTTGTCGCCCGGAGGAGGACAACAATGCGCCGCAAGCGCCGTCATCGCAACAAGAACCCAAAGTACCCTTCACCCAGCCATTATTAGCCCTCGCACACAGCGGTCCACTCCTTGGCGCGTGCTTCTCTCGTTCGGGAAAGACTCCGACTTCCTTGTATCCGTAAATATCACGAAGGCCTTACTGCTAAACAGTATACTTCCATTTTTTATACAGGAACAATTGAAATATAACTTCGGTAGCCCTTATCGAAGGGGACCGAAAACAAGAGGACGCAGTACGCAACTGGAAAGTATTGATTTGTTCGGGTTGGCTTGAGAGGGAGGATCGGATCCGTCCAAAAGGGATGCCATGTTGAGATGACAGTGTCAGAATGCGGGCGCCAGGTTTGAGGAGGAAGGTGTGGCTCGCTTTGGGATTAGGGGATGGGGAGGTTGTCGGCGAGTAGGGGTGCGAGTGGGTGTACAGTTCGCAACATGTTCCAACTGGGGTGGAACCGCCACGGAAGGGCAGTGATGGAGTGCAAGAGTGGTGGGGACAATCAATTTTTGAAACTATCATACAATGGTAAAGTGTTAGAGTGCTATTTTCTGGATGCACCCATTATTCAATGCGGAACGGGGTGGCGGGCGTTGAGCGTGCTGCAACTACAGTACCGTTCTCACTGGTTTAATTCTGGACACTTTCCAGAAATGCAAAAATCAACGTTTTTACCAATCAGACCAAGATTTTTTTGCCATTCCTGAGCTCGTCAACAGACGGAAAATGGGAAAAGGGGTCAATTCTGGACAGGGAGTTGAGCACTCTTATCGAGAGTGAGACAAACCGACGAGGCCTGTTGCGTAATCAGCGACATGGGTGTTCTACGTGTAATACTTGTAACAGGGAGCGGTAAGACTCTGGGAATTAGGTGTCGTACATTGGTGTACTGTAGGGCCACGTTCACATTCTACAGTAGAAGAGTTCGCCAAGGTACTGGACAGTGCATTTAATTCATAGTGACGGAAGGACGCGATGCGATCGGTCGTCATCGCATCAGAACTCGTAGTGCTCGTTGACACGCCGACGAGTAGTAGTTCAGGCCCAATTGAAGAACAAGGGAGGGCAAACGCCCGCTGGAATGCAAGCGCAGAGAAGGGTGGCAGATTGAGAGGAACGGTCGCGGACGCGTGCGGAACAGAAGCAGGGAACGTTCATATGGGAATGGACTGAGGAGTACGCGGGGGGAGGAAGGGGTCACGACACGGAAGCGGAGGAGAAAGAAGTCGCTGTGTGGTTGTTGCCTGAGAGCCTGTGTGGCTGGCTGTTATCACTGCTTGCGCATTCTAGGGTACTTCCGTTGTGTGTGTTCGTTGAGAAGGGTGTTGTTCGCGAAGAAGAACTGATAAAGCACCTGATTGTTGTGTAAAACAAGCCTACAGGTGGTAGCTGTAACATTACAACGTTTTATAAGGCAAACAGCTGGACGCTGCTACAGGTGATACGCAAGGGACGACTGTTTGTCGTCAGTTTAATTTCGATTGTGGACATGGTCATCGGAACGCGTGCCAATGCACAAGGTGATGAGGACGATCCGTATGCGGAAGATACGCTAACTGCCCGAGATATGCAAGGCATGGATTCCGACGGAGCCGACGCACAGGATCACTGCGAAGAAGCTACGTGGGAGCGTAGACTGATGCAGGCAGCGTGGAGCCTACTTCAAGGAACTCAGAGGCTCTGGAGAAAGTCAACACTGCGTTAAAGAGAATCGAGACCATTCTTTCGACGTTGACGAATGCCATGGCATGTATGCAAGAAGGTACTACACCTCAAAACACTGCATTTGCAAGGAACAACTCAGCCAGTCCCTTTCAAGAAGCAACCGGGTTTGAGCGCTCTGACGAAGGCGACGGACCGAACACTTCGGAAGCTGAGCACCGACCCAGCACCCTCCAGCCACAGAATTTATTTGAAAGCTAGGATCGTCGTTCCGTTTAGATGCATGGCCGTGGTAGGAATGAGGATTATGAAGTGTACCCCTCCCATGTGGCCGACAAGATATACCAGAAGGGCATGCACACGTCTCGTTGCAAGCGGATTGGAGATGGTTCTTTTTTCATTGTGAAAAGAACTTGGGATAGGTTAACCATTGATTTCCTAACTAGCAGTGCTGGACAAAAGCGCTTGTTACCGTTGGCCTTTGAGGGAGACGCCAGACTGGTGTACGAGGAGGTGGCGAGCGGAAATCCAAAGGCCAGCTGTAGTGAACTCTGAAAATTACTGCAAGCCCGTCTATGCAACGACGTACACCTGTCAAATCTTCGTGATCGCTTCCTAGGCATGCGATGGAACGAACGCAAAGAGCCGTTCGATAGATTTGCGTGGAGAATGCGGTCGGCAGCCCTTCTCTTATCAGACAAGGTAGATGATGGACTGTTACTCAACCGCCTCAAGACGGGACTTCCAACCAGGCCGCAGGACCAGGCCAAGATGGTTTCGGGTACCTTTGATGAGGTGGTAAGTCGCGTGGCTAGCCTCTCTTCAGCACAATCCGGGCGTGTTGAATCTGTTCGAGAGATCGACGAAGGAGGAGACCCGAGCGCCCGCTTCGCACACGTGCGATGTCATTATTGCCAGCAGCTGGGCCATATATCTCGCGAGTGTGAGAAGAAGAAAGCTGATAAGGCGCTAACGGGAAAAGGCCAGCGTACTCGACAAGGCCCAACGGGACCCTACAGCAAGCAGAACTAGGGCGTTGTTCTGACGGTACGCAGTCAGAAAAGGGAGAGTGCGTGTACTCATGTGACGAGCCGACTCTCGACGAAAACGCGATAGCTGATGCCATCGCAGTGTGCTTTAGTGTGTTCGGAAACGATCTGTGAGTGCCTGTTGACACGGCTACCTACTCTATTTGGGTAGACAAGACCTGGTTCCTGAGAAATGGGGGAAGAATTATCGAGAATAACAGTGTGGCACAGGCCGTAGACGGACATCACTTGCAGGTTGAAGGAGAAGGCTTGCTGGATTTCCGTCTCTGGGGAAGACGTTTCCGGGAGACAGTCCGCGTTCTGGACCAACTACCAGCCAAGGTGCTCATCGGACGGAAGTTTTGGAGAGCAAATTCCTTCGAAATGGATCTTTCCACTAATTCTGGGTACATCATACGGGACGGGGAAAAGTATTCAGGGCCAATCGGTAAGACCAGAGGCCGAGCTTCAGTAGAGCATGTCCGCAAAGTACTCGAGGGCGAAGATGTTGATTTTTATCTGAAGCACGAGGCAGACTACTCCAGCTTCTCGTCTGATTTTTCGATGCAGAAGCAGCTGAGGGATCTCCTTTGGGATCGCACAGCAATTTTTAAAGGCTTAGGTTGTATCAAAGGAGTCCAACATGAGATTCAGTTGAAGGAAAAGGTGAAGCCTATCTGTGAGAAGCTGCGACGCCGATCTCCCAAAGAGCAAGACATTGAGAGGGTAGCTATGGAAAAGCTACTGGCTATGGGCGTGTTAGAGCCGAGTGTGTTACCCTGGGCGTCTAGCAACGTTTTCGTTCGGAAGAAAGACGGCAGTGTCAGGGTCACAGCAGA